GTAAATACCATTATTGGCAATTTCAAGTTCCAAGGTGAGATCACGGAATGCTCTTTGAGGTAACAAAGATCCTGTTATCTCCTTAGCTCATGAAGTCTCAGTTCACCATATTAGTCGACACCTCAAATTTTATGTTAGCAAGTTTTCCCCAGTCCTCAGGCAGGACCAGTTGTAGGTGTGCTATATGCTACCTGGTTAAATAGAGCAGTTCAAGTCCTGGCTACAGGGCTTCCAATCCAGCTTCCTGCTAACACTTGAGAAGCCAGCAGAATATGTCCCAAGCACTTGGGGCCTTTCCATCATGTGGGAGACCAAGTTGGAGTATGTGGTTCCTGGTTTCAGCCTGACCCAGATCTGGCTGGGCCATTTGTGCAGTGAATCAGAGGATGAAAGATTTCTCTGTCTCTCCCTCTCCCTCTCCATCTTCCTTTCTCTCTCCCCCCTCCCTTCCTCCCTCTCTCCCTCTCTCCTTCCCTCCATCCCTCCCTCTCTCCTTCCCTCCCTCCCTCCCTCCTTCTCTCCCTCCCTCCTTTCCTTCCTCCCTCTCTCCCTTTCTGCCCTCTGCCTTTGAAATAAATAAATAAATAAAATAAATATTTTTTTAAAAAATAGAGCTTATTTCAACCTTGCTTACCTCCTTCCACACTTTCTTTTTTTAAAGGCTTCATTTATTCATTTGAAAGGTAGAGTTACAGAAAGGCAGAATGGGAGAGAGAGGTCTTCTATCTGCTGGTTCACTCTCCAAATGGCTGCAATGGCCGGAGCTGTGCTGATCTGAAGCCAGGAACTTCCGGATCTCCCATGCGGGTGCAGGGGCCCAAGGACTTGGGCCATCTTTTACTTCTGTGTTCCCAGGCCATAGCAGAGAGTGGGATTGGAAGTGGAGCAGCTGGGACTTGAACCAGCACACATATGGGATGCCAGCATTGTAGGTGGCAGTTTTACCTGCTGCGCCACAGTGCTGGCCCCCTTTCACACTTTCTAACTGGTATTTCTCACCTTTCCATGAAATGTCCTGGTTGATGTTTCTACTGTAAAAGGGATTGGTGATTTCTGAGCCTATGAAATATTGAAAGATAGTTCTCTTTCTCATGGATGTGTTGTTACATCCTCAGAATCCCTACGATCAATAATGGACAAATATGGCACTTTTTCCCCAGTGTTTATTTGGTGCCTTTCCCAGTTGATTGGTTTTTCTTTGTTTTTTGTTTATTTGCTTGTTTTGGTGATGGTCTCACACAGATCCTTCTGTTGCGGATCTCATCAGGATTTAAAGTGGCTCCAAGCTACTCCCTCCCACTTAGTCCTGCTCTCTCCCCTGAAAGCATATGTGCATATTTTTTTCCAGACACACTCTGAAAGTGAAAGCCAATTCCAGTGCAACCATAGCTCTCCATTACTCTGAAAATCCAAAATCTTTTCCTCAGGATTTTCCCAATAGGAATCAGACACCAATTCTAGTGCTGGGCTCACTGGTGGAAATGTACACCAAGCTCTTTAAAAAATATATAGAAGTCCTTTACCTAGCAGTTAAGCTGAGGGACAGACATACTCACTACTTTGGCTTGTGTATTTGAAGGTCAGGACAGTTTTTCCAAACAAATCTTCCATGCAGCATCCTCTCAGATCTCTTGACTCTGTACCTCCACAGTATGTTCAAGGGATCTGTAACTGACTTTTAGTCATATTCTTTGTAAATACTACATGTAATTCACTAGCTACTTTGAAGTGCAGCTACTTTAATAAAAGCTAGAATTTTTGCCAGTTGTCATACTATAAATACGGGTGACATCCTGAGATTCTTTTTTCCCAATCTATGTCATAAACTGGCCTTGGTTTCAAACAAAAGGAAAACTTACATATAGGCACATATGCAGATAGATAGATATAATTTGTATTGATGTACAACTCCAAAGCCTAAGTTTACTCACACAGAGCCAAGTTAGTCAATCACTGACATTGGAGTAGCCAAAGAAGGTAGGCATTTATTTTGTAAAGCTTGGAACTAGAAGTGTGGGTATCTATCCTTTAGTTCCCAGACTCCATGAGGGGTTAATGATAAGGAATTCTACATCCTGAAGTGGGGTTTGAGAAACACATGAGCAGCTCTTGTATGGATCTCCGGTTTGCAGTACTTGTGGTCCTCCTTTGGCCAGCAATAGGATAGCTATTGTGCTATTTTAGGAGTCTTGGTGATGGTATAATGGACTCCCACCAGTTTGGGGGCTAAGTGGCTGTTATTTTATTTGCTCAGAGTTCCAATAAAGAAAAAACCTTAGGACAGGGTCTTAAATCGACATGTTAACATAGGTAGAGGAAATAAAATAACTCACGGATCTTGTAATCTGATACCCTGTGAGGCTGGCTGGATCCAATGAACCACTCTTTGGTTCACTGAGTCTTCAACAGAGAGTTGATCTGCTATCACCAAAGAAGGGTAAAGAAGCTTTAAGCTGAGAGAGGGAACTTGAGAGCCTGTAGGAGACCTGACCTGACAGCATCTAGGATCCACATCAAAGGCAGTGTGTAGGGGCTCAGCTTTTTTTTTTTTTTTTTTGACAGGCAGAGTGGACAGTGAGAGAGACAGACAGAGAGAGAAAGGTCTTCCTTTGCCGTTGGTTCACCCTCCATGGCCGCCGCTGCAGCCGGCACACCGCGCTGATCCGATGGCAGGAGCCAGGATCCAGGTGCTTTTCCTGGTCTCCCATGGGGTGCAGGGCTCAAGCACCTGGGCCATCCTCCACTGCACTCCCTGGCCACAGCAGAGAGCTGGCCTGGAAGAGGGGCAACCGGGACAGAATCCGGCGCCCCAACCGGGACTAGAACCCGGTGTGCTGGCGCCGCAAGGTGGAGGATTAGCCTATTGAGCCACGGCGCCGGCTCATGGGGGGCTCAGCTTTTGTGAGACATATTCATTATATTTAAAAATTAGATGGGGCCGGTGCTGTGGCTCAGTGGGTTAATGTTCTGGCCTGAAGCGCCGGCATCCCATATGGGAGCTGGTTCGAGGCCCGGCTACTCCACTTCCCATCCAGCTCTCTGCTCTGGCCTGGGAAAGCAGTGGAAGATGGCCCAAGTCCTTGGGCCCCTGTACTCACGTGGAAGACTTGGGAGAAACTCTTGGCTCCTGGCTTTGGATCGGCACAGCTCTGGCTGTTCTGGCCAACTGGGGAGTGAATCATTGGATGGAAGACCTCTCTCTCTCTCTCTCTCTCTCTCTCTCTCCCGGGCTCTCTCTCTCTGTAACTCTGACTTTCAAATAAATAAATAAATCTTTAAAAAAAATAAAAATTAGAAAACACAAATAGACAAAAGTCCTAACAATGAAATCAAATGCATCCCAAGCCCATCTTCCAGGAAAATTTGTTCTAAGTATTTTTACCACTACGCACATAAAACTATGCACAGGGAGAGAGTCTTTCCTCATCTTCTAGTAGCTGCCGAGTTCTCTGTCCCTACCCTCCTTACTGTACACAAGGTGGTCACATTGTCCTGTCAGCAAAAAAATATTATTTTCTTTTTAATGATAGCATATGTAGTATTTCATGCATGTAGTGATTTTTCCTTAACCACGTCTCGTTGAATATTTAGGTGGGGTTTGTGTTTCCATGTAAACTATACTACTATTAACACATTATATGTGTAACATTAATATTGATTTATTTCCTTTCAGTAACCGTAATAATATTGCCTCTGAGTATACATTTGCATTTTAATAGGTATTAAGCCTTAAGCCAAAGGAACACATTTCTAAAATAGAAATTCAGGTATCAGTTAATGGGAAGGAATATATTTGGGAAAGATTTTATCCCTTTCTGTTTCTCAAGAAATCTTAGTAATTAGACTACGCCTGCGACTGCCTACTCATAAATCTGAGTCAACTTATATGTGTTATTCATATGATAAGTCCCCTTTAATTATTAATATTTTGGCAAACACTCTAAAACCAAGGAATATTTCTAAAATATTCATTTGTAATGATCCACAGCAATTCTAGTTACTTATGTAAAATTCATTTAAACTTCCTGTATCTGCTAAATTAGGTTAGGATTCTTACCTAGTAGTCTCTCTCTGCAGTACATTAGTTCATTCTCCTGGATCATTCCCAAAATTCTTATCTACCCAACTGTTATGAAATAAGCTAGTGAAAATGAGGAACAAAATAAAAATGATGCATTATATTATTTTTCCAATGATCTTTACAAGTTTAAGGAAATTGTATAGATTTTTCTCAAACTTATTCATCTCAGGTGTTTCATTTCTTCATCCCTCCTGATTTTGAAGATATTCTACGAATTTTAAAGAAACACCAGGATGATGTAGAATATGAGTGCTTTGGTTTTTTCAGGTGATTTGCATAGGAAAGAATGTGCAATATCCATGCAGATGAGTTAAGGAAAGTGACTGCACTAAGGATGTCCAGCTGGAAGTCTAATACAGTATAGATGATAACCACTTTCAGACCAAAACCAAAAACTTTCAGAAAGTAATGTTCCAGGCTGTTAAGCAAAATGCACAAAACTTCAGAATATATTTTATTGTGGAAGGTTGAAAATGTAAAGGTTAAAGTTAAAAACTTTAAATGTAATTACCTAGCAATAAAACAGATCTAATTGCATTTTTCACTTGATAAGAATGCTTCCTTGTATGCTTAGTTTTAAAATATCAATGAATGAAACAAGCAGTATCAAAAATAAATACAACTCAAATTTTTTGTCATCGGAAAAAAAAAAAGATGATAAATCCCCTGAGACATGGACAGCAAAAATACTAAATAAAAATGAAAGAATAACTTGTAAAAACTATTAATTTCAGAACATATGGAGGAGAAGTGTTTTACTTAATATTTGCAACCACTAAAAGGAACCCTTGGGCATAAACCTTTCATAATTTCTATTAGTGAAGAGAAAAAAAAGTGATCCTGTGCCTTTAATTTCCCTTTCTGAGCAAGGGAAGGCTGCACACCACTGACAAGCTCACTTGTTCCCGTCTTTAATGTGCAATCTGTTTTCTCCAGCGGAGGGCACTCAGTGTATCACAAACTCAAGCATTAGCACCAACAAGCTCTGAGCATCATCAGTCTCTGGAAAGCCTTCTGAATTAGACAAGGGCTGCCTCTCAGCACAGCTACAAAACACTTTAAACCTGACCAGCTAAATGGATAAACCTAGCCTGCATAGCTTTTAAACTGGGGTCTCACACAGCACAGGAGGCCTACTTGCTTCAAGAACTGAAAATCCAGAGGATGAATTGCTTTATCTGGGAATGGCAAAAGCCAGCACAATAAGGAATGCCAGGTATTCTGAAGATTTTCTTTTTTTCCTCTCTTTTTACAGAGAAGTTGGTTACCTCCGAGATGGGCTGTAGCTCTTTCGCACAGATTGCCAATTACTGCTGATGGGTCTCTGGTGAATTACACAATGGTCCTCAGAGCCTAGAGGCCCTCCCCCCTCCCCCAACAGCTTCCTTTTTCCTGCCCTCCTCATCCCACCCCGTGCTGAATTTTTTTTTTTAATCTATATGTATGTATATTTTTTGCCTGTCCTCTCCGGGGAAGTTTGTATGGGGCTGCTAGCTCACATGCGGGATCAGAATGGTGTGAATGACAGCCAGCCGCACTGTGTCATGAAGGTGGTGGTGGTGTCGGCACGAGAGACCAAATAAGAAGAAAGCGGAGAGAGGGGGGAGACGTTTTTGGATGACAAAGGATGGGTAAGTGAACTTTTGTTGTTTTCTTCTTAGCAAAGCCGATCCTCTTACCTTCCTATGCTCAGTTTGGCATTCGCTGATGAAAGACGGGGAAACAGGCAAAAAGCAGCAGCCTTCTGAGTTTGCCAGTTGACTCACTATAGTTGCTATTATATTTTTAGATCATTTTCCTTTTCGCAGTGTTTTTTTTTTTTGAATGCATAAATGCATAACGTGGACTTAAACAGACTCTAGAGAAATAGCTTCAAGACTGTCTCTACCGTCTGCGCATCCACAGCTTGGAAATCGAACACGAGATAAATACTGTGTTTGCTTCTATTTCTTGATAATATTAGCCACGCTTGTATTTCTGGTTGCTGTCAGGAAGATTGTTAACACTTTACTGCGTGTATGTAGGGGTGGGGTCCCTACTTTATCAGAGGTTGCACCAGGGCTTGTTTTATCTTTGAAGCTGTATCCTGAACACAGCTTCCAAATTTCCAGCAGTCATTTGCCAGTCTTATTTTTTCAAGTGTGACTGGCTCCCCCCCCCCCCCTTCTCCTGTCTGGGAGAGCAGGAATGTATTTCAATGAGTCTGTAGCTGGCAAGAGGACAGAGAGCAAAATCAGGTTTTAAATTAATTTTTTTTATATAAAAACCTTCACTGAGAAGAAGGAAGGTTTTTAGATTAAGGGTTTGGCTGATTGCCTCTTTGGTTAAAAATATGAATGTTTAAGAAACAAGGAACTGCAGTACACCGGAGGATTTTTTTTTCTTCACTGTTAAGAAATAATAAATCTACTGTTGACAGAGAAAAGAAGTCCCTTACCATGCAATGACTTGGAAATGCAGCATAAGTGCCAATAGATTGCAACTTTGCAGGCTTTCTGAAGTTAATGGAGGGAGGGGAGAAGAAAAAAGTCGGGGAGAGATTTGAGCATGTTGGGATGGTGAGGAGGAGGAGAGTCGTCTGCTGTGGGTTTCCTTGTTTATCCTTCACATTTGAAAATGTGATTAAATGAAAACATAAGTGCAGTTTAATGCTACATAAGATTTTTTTGTATTTTATGCAAATATGTAATAAGAATTTGTCAGTCTTCACTTTGGAGTGTTCTGTTTTGAGTATTTAGGTCCCCCAGCCCATGTATCACCGGGCAGGGAGCCACAGTACACAGTAATATATGCTTATTAACAAACTGAGAGTACTTGCTGTTAACCGTCATTATCCTGTGCTTCATTGGCTTCCCATACTAGTCCCAATGCTTTTTTTCTTTTTTCTTTTTTTCCCAAAGCTCATATTCTGCTACCCCATTATGTAATAAGTCTACAGTTTCAGGCAGGGCAAACTTGGGTTACCTTGACAGCTTCCTGAAGCTCCTTTGCCAAATCGCAGCCTGTTTGCTCAACTAGGAAAGATGGACAAGTACTGGGTTCATTAAGCCATATTTCTGCCCTTACCAGAAGATACCCTCTCTTGGTATGGTTGTTGCCATTCAGTGACTAGCCAAATATTATTGTTATTAACATGTCAGCATTCAGTGACAAGACAAGCTCTGTGCTTTTCAATATTGAAGTACATGGGAACTCCTGAAACTCAGAAACGCTGTTCTTAGTTCTCTGGCACTGTGATGATTTGCCGATCAAGGAAGAAAGACTGAGACATTAACAGCTAATATGCAACATAGAAGAAAATAATGTCTTCAATGTTAAATACCTTGTCCTTAAATCAACTCTCCCATTACTGTCCCAAATGAAATGCCTCAGATATTGGTAAGCTAGTGGTGATTTATTTTAATAGCTTCACAATGTGCATCTGTCTTTTCTTTAATATTGTAGGTTTCCATTTAATTACGCAGCTGAAAGGCATGAGTGTGGTGCTGGTGCTACTTTCCACGCTGCTGCTTGTTATGCTCACAGGGGCTCAGAGAGCTTGCCCAAAGAACTGCAGATGTGATGGCAAAATTGTGTACTGTGAGTCTCATGCTTTCGCAGATATCCCTGAGAACATTTCTGGAGGGTCCCAAGGCTTATCACTAAGGTTCAACAGCATTCAAAAGCTCAAATCCAATCAGTTTGCTGGCCTTAACCAGCTTATATGGCTTTATCTTGACCATAATTACATTAGCTCTGTGGACGAAGATGCATTTCAAGGGATCCGTAGACTAAAAGAATTAATTCTAAGCTCCAACAAAATTACCTATCTGCACAATAAAACATTTCACCCAGTTCCCAATCTCCGCAATCTGGACCTCTCCTACAATAAGCTTCAGACATTGCAATCTGAACAGTTTAAAGGCCTTCGGAAACTCATCATTTTGCACTTGAGATCTAACTCTCTAAAGACTGTGCCGATAAGAGTTTTTCAGGACTGTCGGAATCTTGATTTTCTGGATTTGGGTTACAACCGTCTTCGAAGCTTGTCCCGAAATGCATTTGCTGGCCTCTTGAAGTTGAAGGAGCTCCACTTGGAACACAACCAGTTTTCCAAGATCAACTTTGCTCATTTTCCACGTCTCTTCAACCTCCGCTCAATTTACTTACAGTGGAACAGGATTCGCTCCATTAGCCAAGGCTTGACATGGACATGGAGTTCCTTACACAACCTGGATTTATCAGGGAATGATATCCAAGGGATTGAGCCAGGCACATTTAAATGCCTCCCCAATTTGCAAAAATTGAATTTGGATTCCAACAAGCTCACCAACATCTCACAGGAAACTGTCAATGCATGGATATCATTAATATCTATTACCCTGTCTGGAAATATGTGGGAATGCAGTCGGAGCATTTGTCCTCTGTTTTATTGGCTTAAGAATTTCAAAGGAAATAAGGAAAGCACCATGATATGTGCAGGACCTAAGCACATCCAAGGCGAAAAGGTTAGCGATGCAGTGGAAACATACAATATCTGTTCTGAAGTCCAGGTGGTTAACACAGAAAGATCACACCTGCTCCCCCAAACTCCCCAGAAACCTCTGATTATCCCTAAACCTACAATCTTCAGACCTGATGCCACCCAACCTGCCCTTGAAACACCAAGCCCTTCCCCAGGGTTCCAGCTTCCTGGCACAGAGCAAGAGTATGAGCATGTTTCATTTCACAAAATTATTGCAGGGAGCGTGGCTCTCTTTCTCTCGGTGGCCATGATCCTCTTGGTAATCTATGTGTCTTGGAAACGCTACCCAGCCAGCATGAAACAACTCCAGCAACACTCTCTTATGAAGAGGCGGCGGAAAAAGGCCAGAGAGTCTGAAAGACAAATGAATTCCCCTTTACAGGAGTATTATGTGGACTACAAGCCTACAAACTCTGAGACCATGGATATATCGGTTAATGGATCTGGGCCCTGCACATATACCATCTCTGGCTCCAGGGAGTGTGAGGTATGAACCATGATCCTCCTAAAAGCATTTCTACTTCGGGGAAGGAGAGGTAAATGTTTGAAGCTCTAGAGGTGTCTCTAATCACTAGAAAGATTAATGACCCTTTTGCTTTTGGGTGTTGCTCAGTGTGAAAGGTTACTTAATTAAATTACAACCACCAGGAAATTGACTGCATTTTTTTTTTAATGGTTGAAACTTGAAGGAAGTTCATTCAAGGATGAGATTAAATTGGAATAAAGCACTATGTTAAAACACCTGTTTTTTTTTTTTTTTTTTAACGGTTTGTATACAGGGGTTGGACTTAAGAACACACATCTACACAAACAAAACTCTTTTCATTCTGAAATTTATGTATGGTTCTTGGTGTTTGAGCGTTGTAATGGAGTGAAAAAGGAGGGGCCAGCTTAATTTAAAAAAGCAAAGTGAGTTTACCAAAATTCCAGGAGGTAATGAAGATTTAAACCAAAGAGCAATTTACCCAAGGTTGATTTTGCTGTAAATTTTGAGTTTTAATTAAAGCATGCAACCGGGATCTGACAGCCATGTTACTTGCCATTTAGTTATCTTACCAGCATAGAGAATGTCAGAGGCCAACTGTGTAATTGTATCAGGATTTTAAGGCTTACTTCCTTCTTTGTTTTTTCTCTTTCCTTCTTTATCTACCACCCCCGAGCATCACAACCATTTTTTTTTAAATTACTGGGCTATAGGTCACTTTTCAAAGGTTTTTTTTTTTTTTTTTAAAGTACTGGTTATTTGTGTGTAATCAGAATGAAACAAATTCCATGTTTTGATTTTGTCCATAGTAACCAATATCAGGTCTTGATGCTGTGGATGATTTAGCAGTAACAAAATGACAGGGGCAACAGTGAGTGTTTGTTAGTGTTGCTGTCATCTCCAAAAGAAATGATATGTATTCTTGTTATACTGATCCAAAATTAAGTGATACAAATATTTATAAATAAAAGAAGGAGCAAGGTTTGAGTCCTGGGTATTCTCCCTTTCTGTAATAGCCTCAAATGAAGCTATGGATTTTATGTCATACTATTTTTGCTTACATAAAAAGTAGTTTGGATACTGTTTCTGATTATTTAATTTTAAAGATCAGTTTTAGGAACGGGTTCATGTGTGGAAAAATAGACACTAATTTTCCCAACTTGTTGATTAGTAGTACTGAATGTAAATTTACTGTTTTCTTGGTAAAGGTTATCAGAGTGTACAAAGTCTTTGACTGCCAAGGCCTTGTTACTGGAATAAAGTAGTGAAGAGAGGCTGAGTTCCGCCATATGCTGTTTTAGCGTCTGATTTTAGGTGACTTCTTTGTCAAAAGAATGTTTTAATGATTATTTAAAGACTTTGCCCTTTTGATTCTAGTTATAACAGTTGGAAAATATAATTTGCTCTTTGATAAAATATACTCTATTTTTCCCATAGTCCTAAATGTACATGCTAATTAAAATGTTTTCGGACAATGCACTAAATTTGAAATAATATCCAACTCAGTAAAGTTTGGACTATGGAACTGTTCTTCATGAAGTTAATTTTCTCATTTTTGTGTATCACTGAATTAGGAGAGTAATCCCAGTTAACAAAGTCCTAAAAGAAATTTGTATAAGCAATTGCCCTTAAAAATCAAAGAGAATAAAATATTTTCTATGTAAGTCTAACAAGGCTTGATGTTTTTCTTGCAGGCCCACAACTACATGATATTCATGAATATTAGTAACAAGTTCATCCTACTTTATTCTGGGTTCTCCTTGTATTTTGTGATCCTTTTAAAGGCTGGTAATGTAAAAACACAAGGAAAATCCACTTCCATTTTATAATTTTCTCTTGCCTCGTGTAATAGGATGGTGATTTTATATGTAAGAGTCACCAAGAAGAGTGATTTTAAATAATGAGGACTTGAGAAAAGGGGATACATATGTTTTCTAGAGACCTTAAATTCCACGAATTATTTCCTTGAAAACCTGAGGATTTATGAAAAAATAAATTTTGTTTTATTTGATAAAACATGCTTTTTTAAAAACACATTCTAATACTGTGTTATATCAAGTGGTGTTTAAGGTCATGAAGTTGCAGTAGTATTATTGTGGAGGAATATGTTGTTAGCGCATTACACAAGGGAAAAGTCAATGAATACTCTAATGATGCTGTTTAGTCAAAATGACAACCCTGCTGAAGATCAAACTCTCCATGCCCTAACAAGATAAAATTGGTAGGCTGTATATTTAAGACTATTACCTCAGTTTGGGACGGTAAGCAATGCAAAAACAGCTATATTAAATGAATATTAGCTTATTCTGAAACAAAACAAACATTGCAACTAGCCTCAACCTTTCTGATAGAATATTGGTGTGTAAAAGTTTTACATGGACATAAAACATGGGGAAAAACAAATTCTTAAAAATTGCTATTAGGGAAAACTTAATTTCCCCTTTTTTCTCACCTACAGTAAAATGCCTCCTGTTGAGAAATCATCTCTTATAGAAACTTCTCTATAAAATGAATACAAGAGAGGGCAATATTTGCCTAAGTTGATGATTTTATAAGTATGTTGCAAGTAAAAGTGTGCTGAATTTTCACCTGTTCTTGTGTCGTAAATCTCGTGTATTGATAGAGAACCATTTATATGATAAAGTTTTGTGAAGCACTTTTTAATAAACACCAAATTCTATCCAATAAAGCCATGTATATTTAAGTAAAATACTTAGCATTGAATGCTAATTTTCTGATAGTGCCTTGATGGGGAAAAATTGCTTTAAATTAAGTCTACTTTCTACCTATATTAAAATTCAGTTAGCATGAACTAAATATAGTAAAAATATATTCACCTTGTTTATTTTCTGAGGAAAATAAAAATATTGATTCCTCATTAAAATGGTATCTATGAGCAACCTTAAAAGTATAGCATGCAATTTTCTATTTATATAATTTTGGTTCTATACTTTGCAAGTTTTAATTTTGAAAAGTCCATGTGCACATAACCATACTAATAAAGTGAAGGAGAATATTATAATAACTTAGGCAGTAAAATTTCTCATATCTATAAAAGAAGAATAGATTAGATAGTTATGAATAATTAATATGTATGGCACAAGAGATACATACATCTCAATCATCACACGTGGCAAGTAGATAAGTGTGCTTCATTGAACTAAATCATTTAGTTTGTCCTCAAAATGTACTCAGAGAAGAGAACTTTGCCTAAAAGTTGGTGGTGTATTATTGAAAGTAGAGAAAATGGCAAATATTTTTTAAATGATGTGAAATTATGCATAATTTTATCTCATTGAAGATATTACAGAAATTATTAAATTATTTTGTATACCAGATTTTTCCTTAGAGATGGTAAAAACACATTTTGATAGCTGATTCTACTAGGATTGTTTCATTAACTGAAAATAACAATACCCTTTATATAATTAGCAAATGTAAATATAGGAAAAGAAGAACTTTCTAGATTATCTTTTACATGAAAAAGAATGAAAGAAACTGGTGAAACTTTAAAGTGAATGAAAGCATTCTCTCAAGAGATTCTCTATCCAAAATGTTTTTAAAAGTTAAATAATTGGAATATAAAGTTTAATGATCCCATAAGGCTAACATTGCTGCCATAAGGAAAATGGTAGTGTGGATGGTAATATAGGTATGTATTTTCTAATTATTTGATATTTTGGTTACACTGTTAAAATCAAATTTCAAACAACATATTGGTTGTCAGTTTGGGCTTAAGTTATTTCTTTCACTGCTATGCAGTGGGTGATATAGACCATTTCAAACAATTTCTGTTCGTAATTATTAAAGAAATTAAGTTGAAAAACTATTTAAAATATACCAGTAACTTCTTTTGATACTTTACAAAGTGACAGTTTGCAGTGTACTAAATGGATTTCCAAGGATTGGAATAATATATGTTCAAAGATAATGCTATGTAAAATAGGCTTAGTGTCATTGAGTTTAATGAACTTTTTACCAGCATAGAGCTATAGAAAAATAAAACTCATTGAGGTGATCTTTACTGTGTCAAGGCAAAATGTGGTAATTGAGACTATATTTTGTATATTCAAAAAGTTTGTATTTGTGCTTTTTTATCTAAGTTTCTATGTAAATGTGTTTATATATGCATATACATGGCTGGTGAGAGAAGAATATAATATCTTCCCATCACAATTAATGTCCATTTTGAGCATTTGAAGTATTAATTGAAAAAAGCTTATGTTAAATTGCCAAGATTTGCTAGTCAGGAATATACTTTTTAAAGTGAATATTTTATCATCTTTAAAAATTGTGTCTCTCATCTATCTAGTCTCAAGTTCTATTGTTAAAAAACAATTTGAAGTAGTCAACTCAGTATGTAATCTACATACTGCCATTTGGGGTATGACATTTGGCTACTCACTTCATTTCTCTGTGATCCCTCAAATAAGTGTATTCAAATAAGTACTCAACTAGCACAAGCCAATAGCAATCCAGACTAGTAAACTTTGCAAAATCTCTATATTCATTCTCAGGCGTGAAAAAGCAAGATGAGATCATAAGAAAAAACTGAGCTATGTATTCATGTGTCAATGAGTAAAAAACTTCTTGAGTTATTAAAATTGAGATGCCCATGTGAACAGCCATGCAACTTCTCTGTCTTTTAGGGGAAAATGCATAGCAAGCCCACACAAATGTGTCTGCACACACACACATACCTTTTACATTCTGCCAAATAACTTATTATTTTGAAAGCAATTGAAAGTGTAACTGCTTTTTAAAAAATCAATGGCCTGAATTTGATCCAATTAAAATCTATTTGAGAATAGCATTTTTATTTGAGTTTGCAAATGCTAGTGATAAAGAGTGACAGCTGCCAAAAAAGATCTGAAATGGCTAATTTGGGAACAATTTTTAAACTGACTATATATGGTTCAATTCTTTTTCTAGAATTAGGATATTAGCATCTCATGGATGAGGTTTGAAAACTGTTGCTTGCTAATACCTCAAGCTGTAGAGTT